CATTTGGTTTATGTGGTTATATCTATCAATATACCATCTAAATTTTCATTTAACCTGAGAAAATTTAGATTTAGCTACTTACTTTAAAAATAATATAAGCACTGGCTGGTGTGGTTGGTTGAGCATCATCTTGTGCAGTAAAAGGTCTCTGGTTCAATTCCCAGTCCGGGCACATGCCCAGGTTGCAAGTTCAGTCCCAGTGGGGGGCGTGCAGGAAGCAGCCTATCAATGATTCTCTCTCATCATTGATGTTTCTATCTCTCTCCATCCCCCTTCCTCTCTGAAATCAATAAAAATATATTTTTTAAAAAAGAAGACCTATACTTCTCGTGAATTTAGGCTCTCTATCAGGAGAGCCTAAATAAATAAACAGAATATGGCAGCAACTAATTAAACAAACAAATAACCCATAGAGGGTGTTTGCTTAAAGAATAATTGTGGGGGGTTACTGTGTATATAGAGTACACACTTAGGAGGTGTCATTTAGAATCAGACCTCTAGGAAGGGAAGAGGCCAGCCACAAAGAGAGTCCAAGAGAAGAGCATAACAAAGATCAAGGCAAAAGGAGCCTCCGAAGGGCTGGAAGGAGGCCCATGGTGGCTGGGACAGAGTTGACAAGGGGGTGTGTATGAGAGAAGGTGGGAGAGGTGAATAGAGGTGAAGTCACCCACAGCATCCCCAGCACTGACCACAAGTCTGTATATAACGTGAAGTGGACTGGATACAGAGAAGGGTTTTCCTCAAAGGAGTAACATGATCTAATTTACTTTTTCTGTTTTGTTTTTAAATCACCAGAATTATGTTTCCCAATCCCAATATTAGGGTCAACCCCCTGCATCAAAGGAGTTCCATGGCTCCTGATAAAGGGGGTGACCACATGTTCTAGTTTGTTCAAGTGAGTCCTGGTTTTTGCCTGTTGCCCTAGTATAATTATTAATAGTCCCTTCCTTTCTCTCTCATAAGCGTCCAACCCAGACCATAAATTGTATGGTAAACTTACTGATAGGATATACAGTAAAATAGTCTCTAGGCTGATATTCAAGGTTCTTCTGATCCTGGTCCCAACTCACCTCTCTTCCCTCTCATCGCCTTTGAATTTTAGAAACATACTTTCACCTTCCTTCTAGGTAATCCCTGTATATTCAGGGTCAGATTATACTCAGACAAATCTGAACACAACCTTTTATCCTACAAGCTCACTTCTCCCCTGTCACATCACTACCTTACGGTGTTCTGGTCACTGTGAAGTGTGGCTGGCAGTATCCTAAATGGGACGCCACTGCTCTGCCTTTGTTCCTGCGATTGCCTCAGGACCATCTCATGACTAGTAGCCAGACCTGGGAGACCTTCTAGAAGCCAGGAAGAATGAATAGCTTCCCCTCTGCACCTGGTTAGCACCTCTATTATCCCATTTATCACAACTATTTTCCCTGCTAGAACAATAGGAACCTAGTGGCAAGGACAGCACCTCCTCTTGTAGGTTTTGGATCCTCATCACCCACTGAATGCCTGGTCCACAGCTGGTACTTGATATATGATTGCTAGATGAATTATTTGACATAAAAGCGACATAAAATACACAAATAATATTTAATACCAAAGCAACATAAAATACATATACCAATAAGGTTGAACAATGTGATTTTAAAATTAATTTATCTGTAAGCCTTAAAACATTTTTGCCTACACATTCATTAGGAAGTAACAATAAAGTTTTAATAAATGGCTAGAAGTAAAAAATCTTTATAGGCCTAGAAGAAGTCTAGTTTTAGGAAACTAAACAATTTCTAAGTAATTGTGAAACTGGAAGAAAACAGACAGAGGTATTAACAAAAGGTAATTTCCCACTCACCGCTCTGAAACGATCCGGAACAGATCCTGCTCAGAAGAAGTTTTTGACGCAGCTGCAGAACTTCAGCTTCCAGGGTTTCAACTCTAGATCTCCACTCCGACTCCTGCCCCGACACGACCCTCGCAAGGTGCTCCGTGTATTCCCTGCTGCTTCTGTCTGCTGGCTTTGAGCGGATAATCGCCAAGGCCAGAGCCAGCTTTGCAGTTCTCAGGTACCATACTTGATTATCCGTCCTGGCTTCTGTCCCTATGGGGCAATAAGAAAGAAAGTTACAGAAGTGCCTTTTAACTTCTGCACTGCATTTCATTTGCTCAAAATTGATTTTACGGAGTAACACTAATTAATAAGTTTATAATACCAGTTGACACCAAGTAACAGAAAAAAATTTCCCATGAACTGAAAGCATTATGAAAAATATGCAGAAGAAAAATCTATGCACATGCATATTAAGTTTATTAATATTAAAAACAATAGGCTCAGACAATTTGACAAATTCTTGGGATGGAAAACACATACATTAATTCACTTAGTGATATCTAACAAATGGCATACGTCAGAGTCTCTCTCTCTCTCTCTCTCTCTCTCTCTCTCTCTCTCTCTCACACACACACACACACACACACACACACACACACACGCGGTCCCATTCCCCCAAGAATTCTAATTCAGTAAGTCAGGGGTAGAACTGATACTTTTTTATAACTTTTTTTATTTTTCAATTACAGTCAACATACAATATTATAGTAGTTTCAGGTGTACAACATAGCAATTAGACATTTATATAACTTACAAAATGATCACCCCAATGAGTCTAGTACTTGTCTGACACCAAGCATAGCTAT